TGATCTTCAGCAGTTGCGAACTAATGCACAAAACCAGGTAAATAGAATGATAGATAATATAGCAGGAAAACAAACCCATATTAGTGAATTGCTATGTAAAAATTTTGCTCTCTAGTTATTGTATCAGCGAAATACCCACCACCTACAACAATGCAGAGCTGATAAGGGATTATTAGAATATAATAGAGACAGACTCTATGAGCAATATACTAAATGGAAAAATAAGACCCATGCAGAGCGCCAGAATATTTTAAATTTACAGCAACAAATTTTTGCACTTCATAATAATTCACCAAATCAAATAAACATGGCTGATACTAAACATTTACCAGTATTAAAATTAATGGCTCCTGCTTTTGCAAAATTTCCACCTTATACAGGCCAAGAACCACCTAATGATTACTTGAATAAAGTTATTCAATCATAGACATATCTTGAAAGGCATATGACGGTTTTTAAGAATACAAATACAGGAGATTTTGACAATGCGGTCAAGTGTAATATTTTAAAATCTATGATGGGTGGAAAATATGTTTCAGTACCAGCAAATAATAATCTTGTAGTAGGAAATTTAGCTATAAATTCTCCAGATACATTATAGGCTTGGATGAGAGCAAAATATCAGCGAAAAACTATCAGAAATCAACAATCAGCTATTCAAAGATTGACTCAAGAAAGATATCAGCTCTATGATACTCCTGATACCTATGAAGCCAGAATTCGACCACTATTATTAGGAGTAGCAGACAATGATATACAAGTTTTGGGATTTCTTAAAAGTCATTTAACAGGCGATTTTTATACTTGGATGAGAATTGTTAATTCTGCAGGTATTAATGCATTTTTCACTGAACTAAAAAATATGTAGCTAGAGCGTGAACAAAATTTTAGTGAAAGAATCCCAGAGAAATTAAGTCAAATTGCCAATCAAGTACAAACCTTACCTAGTATAAATCCATTATCTTATTCTTTACCACTAGTTACCCCAGCTCCTCAACAGCAAGGACATACAATTTCTTTAGAAGATATACAAAAAGCAATCCAAAATGCACTGGCATAGCAAAAAACTGAATACCAATCTTTATTAGAAAAACAAAAAACCAATTTTTAATCACAAATGGCTAAGCAAACGCAAGTACCTGTATCTCAAACTGTTGAACTAGTTAGACAGCCAAGAGGTTCACCACCTTCATTACAAACAGAAGAAGGTATGAAAAATTTTTGCTTATTACAATACTTAAATAATTTAGGTATATTTAGTAAAGAAGATTTCAACAGAAATTATTCTATAAAGCCTTTTCAAAAACCTCATCAGGGACGATTATATTCATCAAATCAAAATGCTAGAATGGATAAAATAGAACCGAAAGTAGATGAAATCGGCCAAATGATATCTCAATTTGGGAAGATGATGCTTGATAACAAAAAACCCGTAGCTAAATCAAATTCAACATATTGATACTTTTCTCCTTTAATACCTTCCCAATCCCAATATGCATCTCCTGATTCAGATGATAATGAGGATGAAGAAGGTGGATATAACGAGAAAGAGAATAAATAGCATGCTCCATCTCAGTCAGAAAAAAAAAACAGGTACCGGTAAATGAAAAAATGCTTCCAGAACTTAGTTAGCCTGAAACATACGATGAACTATTACCAAAGCTTTTATCGGCAATGCATAAAATGTGTCAGTCTTATATAGTTCAGGAAAAAGAATCAAAATCAGATGAATAGTTTTTGTCATTGCAATACTTGCATTGTAATATAAATGATCTATTAATTACTAATTCCTTTTTAGATAGCGCGAGTGAATTCGGAGGAGTAAATGATGCAACAATTAATACCCTGAGGTGGAAAGCTAATAAGCCTTCTGACTTTGCTATAAAGGGTAATTCCAAATATATATTCGAATCATTAGGATGGTATACAGATGTGCCAATTAGTGTAAAGGACAAAGATGGTAAGATTGTTATAGCTACTGGAAATTTTGCTTGTATTAATAATGGTAAACCTGAACCAATGTTATGTTTAGGTATGACATGGATTCGAAAAGTTCAAGGTATTCTTGATCCAAATAAAAATCAATTTCGAATGAAGTTACATGGGAAGACTTACACTATTTCAACTTTTAGCAAGGCTACAGAGGTTAATGAACTAGAGCAACAAGTTTCAGATATGTATGATAGTGAGAATTTAAAAAAAAATATGACTTACTTGAAAAGCGACTTATAAAAACTGAAAAGTGGCTTGATATAGCTCTAAATGCAGGTAGAGTTCTTGCAGAAAGATGCTCTCAGCTTACTGAGGCAAAGACGGGCATATAGGAGCTAATCTTTTAGTATCTTTCATTAATTTTTCAAGATCTGCTTTTCTTCTAGATATATTAAACAAAGTTTGTGCACACTGTGGTTCTTTGAACCTATCTATAGAAGAGGTATTTTTTTCTATTGCAGAGCTATCACTCTTCGAGCCTACTATATATGAATTTGATGAAACTTTCCTTTTTCAGCTAATCTTTTTTGTCAATATTTTTTTAGCTAGAATCTTCTTAGTTTGAGACTTATCTAACATGAGACCTTCATTTAAATCAGGTGGTAATAAGAAATCATTTTGATTATCAAGACCTTGTTGGAAACGTTCATTATATTCCCATATCTTATATATATAGCGGGCACCAATATGAAATTTTTCAGCCATTTTTTTTAATGCATTTGGAATTTTTCTTCTCGAATCTCTAATTTCCTTAATATCAGACTCTGATAATCGGGTCACATTAGATCGATAGAAGGTTTGATGAAGACGATTGACCATTTTTAAGTTAGAATATATTATAGAAAAAAGTATCAATATTTTTCAAAACATATTGATGTTACTATAATGTCAATATATATCGATAAGTATTGTTTCTTTTTTAGTAAGCATCTAATATATATCAATAAGTATTGTTTCTTTTTAGTAGGCATCGATATGTATTGTTTCCTTTTGGTAGGTATTGAAACATATTAATAAATTTCATATATAAAGGTACCAGTATCTATCGATTTTCTTGTATAAGTATTGATTTTTTAACAATTTATATTTATATTTACTTAGCTGAAGTATACCTTGAATTTATACTTTATTAAATATAGGTGAATATCGAAAACTCGGGAGTATACTATCTAATCAATATCCACCTAGCCGAAAGAACTTGAAAACCAGCTTGTTTGTGCAAATCAAAATCGAGAAATTGCTATAAAGTGTGGCAATCGACTTTCTAATAAATACTCTGTCTTGGATAAAGACAATAAGTGTATACAATATGATCTAAAACAATCCAATAAAGATAAAGAGAAACTCTTCAAGCATGCTTTCCAGATTATAGATGAGGTTAAACGATTGTGCTCTAATCTAACATCCCAGATTACTCACAAAGATATTTCTCTTAAAGAATCTAAGATTAAGATAAAAAATCTCCTGTCTAAGATAAAAATATTGGAAATGAAACTATCTTCAACTCAGAATAAATCAAAGGAAATTACAGCACTTCGGTTTATGAAAAAAATACTAGAAAGTAAGTTAGAATTAGCTCAAAAGGATGCATTTTCAACTCAGGAAGAGATAGTAAAAAAAGAATCTGAGATTATATCTCTCAAGTCTGAATTAATCAATATAAAGAATGAACTAATGAATTAGCTTTAAAAATTAATGAAATTGAGTGTTTAGGCACTTTACGTTCTGCTTCGCAGAAAACAAAGAATATATTGGATCCTGTAATTAGAGGAGGTACAAAAAAAAATACGCAGAGTGAGGAACAAAGTTTTATATCGAATTCTGGAGACATATTGGAAGAATCAGAGATTCAAGGCTATGCCTTATCTAAAAGTCTTGCAAAATATTTTAAAAGTAAAAATGAGCTAGTAATAAAAAAAAATGAAACATTACCAATTATCACAAATAAGCAGAATCTGGAGTCATTGATTCAAGATATTACAATAGAAAGGGCAGTATGCGCTGGCGAGGCTTTAGTTAATGATAAGTATCAAATTCCTTCTATTATTAAAATTGTCATTATTACAATAATAGTGATATTAATTATTTGGTATATATACAGTAATATTTTTCATCAAACCCTGCCTTCTCGTTCTTTAAACTCGAAGCCAGATTATACTCATTATATGATTGCCTCTGGCAATTTGTTTTCTGGAATATATAAGCCAACTATAAACGAACAAAGTGAAGTGAATTATTAGAGAAAAGAAATTTTTTATCCAATTTATAAAAATCATAGTTATGGATTCCCAATCCATTATACAAAAAAACCGAAAGAAAGAACTTCCACCTATGAAACTATTCCTTATGGATATAGACGAAGCTAATAAACATGTTGCATCTTGTTGTCAATCTCATCCAGCTAGTCCAACATGGCCCTTTAGAATGATAGTTAC